CGGGATCGTGCATCTGTTCGAATACGCGGGCCTTTTGCTGGAGGTCAGGGGTGAGGGATTGCATCAGTCGGAGGCCGAGTTCTTCTTCGATCTGCATGATACGAGTACCCGAGTACGGGCCATCGTCAATCTCGTTGGGCTCGGCGCCGGTGAACCACGGGGAGGCGACGATCTGGTTCTTGTACAGGAAAATGTTGAGGCAAAGATGGTGGCCATAGAAGGACCAGCCCCATGGCCGAGTGGTCGAGGGACGACCGAAAAGGACAAAGTTGTAGGAGAACTCGTTCATCACCTTGGGAGATTCCACCAGCTCACCGAGGAAGTGGTTGATGCGCATGGCCTTGACGGCCTTGTCGTAGCCCTCGGGCGACAGGGTGGTCTTCAGGACGTTCATGATGGCATCGCGCAGCTTGTTGTCAATCTCGTCGAGGCGCAGACCCTTATGGGCCAAAAGGAATTCGGGGTTTGACCAGGTCCTCCATTCGGGAGAGTCAATGTGATAGGACAGCGCCTGGCGCTGCTTGTCGTCGGCAAGGGACAGGACGTTCTGAACGGACTCAACAATGTCGCCAACGGGCACATCTTCATCTTGGAGCGTGAACAAGCCGGGGCGAACATTTCCTTTGGCAATTGATTAGCATTGGCCCTTCGAAGCGGCGGTGCGGGGTGAATGTATCGGAGAAAAAGAACCTACCATCGGTGGTTACACCCTTGAAGGGTTCCTGCAGCAGATCAACCCAGTGCATATACAGCGCATGCAGCCACGGAGGGTTCTTCAACGTCTTGAAATCATGGGCATATTCATGAGCATCCTGATTGCGCATCACCTGGAAGCGCTTCAGACTCAGGTCGGGCAAGTATTGACGGTACTCGCCCGTAGGCTTTTGCAATTCAGCGGCGGAGTGGGACATGATGGGCGGATTGCAACAAGGCAGAAGGAGGATGAGCCAGTGTTGCAGGGAGAGGAGGGAACCGGGAGATTGAGAAAAAAAGAGAGACAATGAGGGGGAGGGGTAATAGGAAGCAGGCAGCGACGCGTAGTTATTATAGCTGAACGTGTAGTGAGACTGCGATCGGCATCTGCTTTCCGTACTTCTTGGGATTCTTTTCCCCGTGGCGTCACTCCCCACGCTCTCTCCACACAAATCCCCACCGTGGGTGGTGGAGAGCGGCTGTTTTCTTATCCGACACTGCTTTCCTCCACACTTTGCCTCGCCATTGCCGGTCTTCCCTCTTTACTCACATCTACTATATGGGCGATCAATGCGAACGATTATCGATTTTATACCCGTCGGATATACTAGACGTCTCTGCAGAGTGATACTGTCCAATCTACTATCTAAAACCACATTGTCCCTCATTCTCAGACGTATATCAGCCCACCCTCCCGGATATCCCGACGGCTCTGCATAACTCCGTCTGTCCGTTGGTCCTTCTACCCCGAACCACCTACACCCTCATCCCACGCCAGATGCGCCCTCAATTCCCCCAATACCCCACTAGATCCCCCCGGATATTCAAAGCGCGCTAAGACGTGCTGGTCGGGGCGGACTAGAATTGCCTGGCCCTCCGCTAATCTTGTCAGCGCCACCCACTTTTCGCCACCCCCGGCCTGAAGGTCAAAGTTTGCCCCCCTGGTCATCATCTCGAGTTTTAGCCCACTACATTTGCCGGGGAGTTGCCGTTTCACTTCTTCGATGATCTTTCCCCAATGATCGGCTGATCTTATGTCCACAATGAACGTGAAAGCGTCAAACGCACACAAATCTAGCGTGGAGAACTGTTTCAGTTTTAGCTCTTCGGGAAGAAACTCAGTTACGTAGGAACAGTCAATGGGAGGAAGTCGGATCTGGTCTGGGGTCAATAACTTGATCCACGCATGCGGTAAGCGGGCTCCAGGAATGCAAAGGGGCTCATATGTCGAGGCACAGTCTGGGCGCTTGTGGTTACCGTAGACATAGCCCACATGAAGACCAAGGTTGTCAAAGTGCTCCCGCTGGCCTTCAATGCCTTTGTTGATCTCCTTCATCATTTGTGCGTCTTCAATGTTGCGAAATAAATTCTGCCTCGCAACATGAACATCGGGATCGGTAGTCCCGAGAGCTTTTAAAAGACCAAATATCTGTTTGCCGTTCTTGACGCTCTGCTCAGCGTTATCGCAGGCAACTGGCCGCCTATCAGCTTCATAACTGTCCAGAAGCTTGTCACCACCCCATCCATGATGCACTGCGGCGAGCTTATATGCGAGATTATGGACATCCCCTAGACCGCTGTTCAGTCCCAATCCTCCAGTAGGTGGGAAAGAATGCGCAGCATCTCCGGCTCTGTGCGACTGTGTTAGCACGTACCAAGTGGAGACTGGAATGCAATACTACTGACAGCAATACACGGTTTGCTCGGTAGGCAAGGGCGACTTTCCTACTCAATATCCATGGTCGATAACTCAATACGTCGTATGGGATCTTTGCACCAATAGCTGCGTCAACAACTTTGCGACAAAGCGCTTCGTCCCATGAGTTGACTGGGTGCTTTTCAGCCTACACGGAGTTAGTTTCTGGCTGTTTCTTGAATTAAACAAGCAATCAAGGACACTCACATCGAAATTACAGATCAAGACTTGGTTCCCTCCCAGGTCGTACCCAATAATGAAACCGGATACTTCTGGGTCCATCACCCAGTGTAACATGCCGACTCGTTCTTTGACCACAGGGTGCAGGTCAGCATTGATGTGGATAGTCATCATGGTCTCATCTAAGTAGTGGTCAGCCTCGAAGTATTGAATGGGTCAGCTGTACCACATACAAGAGTCCTCGCCCTCGCTATCTATTCCCAGACATCTCCGGACCGCACTCTTTGCTCCGTCGCATGCCACAAGATGGCTGCACTTCACAGTATATTCATGTTGTGTTGCGCGATCTTCGATGGTGGCTAAGACATAATCACCGCGCTTTTTCCTATCAGTAACAGCTCTAGATTGGTTTCACGATCCACCATGAAACTTACATCAGTCAGTCTAACAAAGGATTGATTCTTGCGTATCTCCACCATATTGTTCTTGGATAACCGCTTAGCCACCAGCTCCTCAAATTCTGGCTGTGGGATGTTATGAATCATCTATCTCTAACATGAGCATGTATCTCGGATTTTGAGGTCTTCACATAGTTGTCATACCGTGGGTGTGCTTTCCAAAACAGCTGGATCCATGCGCTCATACGGAAGTCTTCCGACTTGTCTGCCACTCAAACTGGTAATGAAATTGACCCAGAACGCCTCTCCGCGTTTGGTTCCAATGCTGCGAATCTCGTTCACATCTAGGCCGTACTGCCGACATATCTCAAGTGTCCTGGGCGATAGTGCATGTGCCTTTGGCGCCTGCAGTCTGGTGGGGTAGCGTTCACATAGCAGAGATCGGACTAAAAGTCAAGTAGATGACAGTCAGCGAATCTATTCAGAACGGACTCTCTCCTCTCGTGACGAGTTTCCTATATCGTGGAGGGGCGGTCCCATACCTCCAAGTTGGGCAAGCAAATACGCAAGGAGTAAGCCACATGGGCCGGCCCCAACGATCAAAATAGGCACATCGTCGTCGAAGTGGATGTCCTCCTTGGTGGGCGACATGCTGTCGGTCTGTCTATGGTTCTAACGATGGATGTCTGTCTATTCTAATCCGCCGCACCTTTTTATACTGGCTCATCCTAAAATTGAGCAAGTGGGAAAAGCTATAGTTATCACTACGTGAGATCGACCTGTTTGTTGTCCTTCGCGGCTGACTCGCGCGCCTTGCATCCCCCACTCCAATCAGAGTGGGAAAATTGCGGAGAATCCGGCCCTCTATGCGGGGATGCGTCTCTTACTCTTCCATCTCTCATGCTTTCATCCTTCTCATTTTCATATTCTTTGGATTTCAACTTCGCCTTGTTGACAACATTATCGTCTGCCTTTCATTTCAAGCCCGCCAAGTAACACCCCATTCTTCCCCACATGAGAGTCCCCACCACCCGCTTCTCTACCACTTGGTGGAAGATTCAGTCTGACTCTTGACGAATGGAGTCGCTGTGTTTGGTAATGGCGACCAGGCGTCTAGCCCTTCCCCGGGTTCCGATCGGATCTGGAGCTGTTTGCCGTGGGCAATCCGCTAGCCATGCTATGAGACTGAAGCTGTTCATGGCATCTAGTATAGTCAGTCTGAGACCGGTACTTTCCCCCGTCCCTCTACAAGCCTTTTCTTGTGTCACCATGAAGCAGTAACGGGTGAGAATCGAAATATATCCCATACCGAAGGCCTTATAGGTGAAAGGATGAGCTTTCAACTCCCAACTGATACCGTCCAGACTACCAACTCTGCGGGGTAACTTACCGCAACAGAGTACCATACCGTAACCATATGGGCCAACGACACGCTAGTCCAAGTCCGGTTACCCGCAACGGCGAGAGTGGCACGTGACCGCCACGCGCCCATCCGAGAACCCCGCGCGCATCCCATGATTCATCGACCAGCAAGCCCGATGCTATGATTGGCACTTTCACTTGCCAAAGCTCTAGAACTCTCGCACATCCTGGTCTACTTGTCAGTTACCTATCGAACCAGCTGCACCCTATCAATTTATTCCCAACTGTTCTGTTGAGATCCCAACAATTGGCAATACACCTCTCCTACCCCGGCGATACTGCACCGGAGTAACTCTCCCAGATTGATTAGCTCAGACCCGTTTTGGTTTCTCCGGCATAGGCCTAGTCTTAGTCTAGTCTGGGTGGAACACCGAACATCATCATTCTTCGCTCACTGGTTTTCCTCTTAAAACATTTTCTTTTTTTTCGCGAAGCTTCTTTGCCGGTGAAGCTGGATTATTGCGACATTTTATCTGGCAAGCTGCGGTAACACCTCCTCCTTTGAGCCACGGATTAAGGGAAACCAACCTCCCACAGGCGGAGAACCCCTGCGAAAGAACAATCAGACGGTTCTTATTGCTCTGCCTCTTCCCCGGCTTTTTTTGTTCCCTTTCAACGCGCTTTGCTGCCGCCGTTGTTTTTGCTGTCCGCCCCAAGAAACTCCGCCTGTTGCCTCAACGTCACTGGCAATTAAATCCCCCGCGGTCATGAGTTGAGATCAACACATATCATCTCAAATAATCCTCTCTCCCCTTTCGATTTTCTTCTTCTATACTTGCTCTTGATTCCCTGTTGTGCACCACTATCTAGCATTAGTGTCAAATTACAGACGCAAGTCATGGCGCGCAGATTTATGATCCCGTGGTTGTACGACCTCGGAGTGTGGATTTTCACTCTCTGTCTGGACATCTTCTTCCGCGAGGTCTACTCGCGCGGCGCATGGCGGATTCCCAAACGCGGCCCTGTCATCATCGTCGCTGCCCCTCATGCAAATCAGTTTGTAGATTCCATTCTGTTGATGCGCATCTTGAAACACTATGCCGGTCGCAGAACCTCGTTTTTGATCGCAGAGAAGTCCATGCGCGAGCCGTACATCGGCACCATGGCCGGGTGCATGGGCGCTCTCCCCGTCGTGCGATCGATGGACCATGTCAAACCCGCCAAGGGTGAAATTTACCTCCCCGATCCTGACAACGATCCGACCCTGGTCCGTGGCAGGGGAACCGACTTCACTTCCGATCAATTCATGGTGGGCGGCGCCATCATTCTCCCGCGTGTGGGCAAAACGAGTCCGGAACAACAGGCGATTGAGGAGATCTTAGGACCCGAGGAAATTCGTCTGCGGAAACCATTCAAGAAATTCGAGAAGGACCATCCTCTCTACGAGCCATTGCGCAAGGGTACCCCATTCAAGGCTGCCCCCCACATTGATCAGAGCAAGATGTTCGCTTCCGTGTATTCCGAGCTGGTCGCAGGTGGTTGTATCGGTATCTTCCCGGAAGGCGGAAGTCATGATCGTCCTAGTCTGTTGCCCTTGAAGGCCGGTGTCGCCATTATCGCCCTCGGAACGCTCGCGCAGGATCCCAACTGCGGTCTCTCCATTATCCCATGCGGCATGAACTACTTCCATCCGAACAAGTTCCGTTCCCGTGCCGTCGTTGAGTTCGGTAACCCTGTGCAAGTTCACCCGGATCAGATTGAGGCCTTCAAGGCTGGTGGAAACTCGAAGCGGAACGCCGTGGGATCTCTATTGGAAACAATCACGGAAGCACTCACTGCAGTAACCCAGCAAGCGCCCGACCACGAGACCCTGATGGTCATCCAAGCCACCCGACGACTGTATAAGCCCTTGCGAATGAAGCTCCCTCTGCCCGTTGTGATCGAACTGAACCGCCGACTTCTCAAAGGCTACACCCAATTCAAAGATGAACCCAAGGTGCTCCAGTTGAAGAAGGCCATCTCCGATTATAACCGCCGTCTCCGGGCCCTCGGAATTCGGGATCACCAGGTTGAATGGGGTGACGTGACTCATCGGCCGTGGTGGCTTGTCTTTGGTACCTTGTTATACCGCGTGGGAGAGTTGCTTACGCTTGCGATCGGAACCCTGCCATCGGTGGCACTTTTCTGGCCTGTCTTCGTGACGGCCAAGGTTGTTTCGGTCAAGAAGCAGCGCAAGGCCCTTGCCGGTTCCGTGGTCAAGCTCGAGGGTCGCGACGTCGTTGGAACGTGGAAGATCCTGGTCGCCATGGGATTGGCACCAGCCCTCTATACCTGGTATACCGTAATTGTGACGATCTGGCTCCATTACTGCCGCCATGACGGATACTACGCGTCTGTAGCGCCATGGTGGCTGAACGCCAGGACTTACATCTCCGACTCGATCCCCCTTGCAATTTTCTCGATTTTCTTCTTCGGTCTCATGATTTCTGTGTCGTTCGCGGGTCTCCGTATCGGCGAGATCGGTATCGACGTTCTGAAATCCCTACCTCCTCTTCTGCGGGCCCTCGACCCAAGATCCGCCAACTCGCTCGCCAAACTCCGCGCTGAACGCCAGGCCCTTTCCGCACGAGTAGTGGACGTAATCGACACCTTCGCCCCTGAGATCTTCCCTGACTTTGAATCGGAGAAGCTTATCTCGCACGAACACCCCGAGGACGACACCTATCAATCCCGTCTCAAGAGCATGCCCCCTAGCGAGCCCGAAAGTCGCAACCGCAGCAAAGACCGAACCAGCCGGAGCCGATCCCGAAGCGCGGGATTCCTGTATGATACGCTCCTCAAGCCCCTCTCCATCAAATCCAAGGACGATCTTGGAGAAGTCAACCGCCGGATTCATGTCTCGATGCAAGAGCGCGGTCGTCAACGTGTCCGGAACGAAATCGACCCCGACGAAGATGTGGTTTCGCTTGACGGTTCCAGCGCTCACAGCGGGGACATTGCAGTGGAGGAGGTGAAGAAGACGAAATAGTCGTCTTGGCTTTTCCGCCGAGGATGGACGAGAACTACTACCTCTCGACCTATGAACCCATCAATCATCAGCACAAACCAACAAAATCTCTCTTCATGTCCATGTTAGTTCACTCTCTGTCGGCTTCTTCTTTGAGCGGGATTTCCGTAGCATGGCGTAGGCCTTATTATTCGGCGTTTTGACAAAGCATGTTCTGTTCTTGTCTTTTTTCTTGTCATCATGTCTGTTTTTTTTTTTTTTTTTTTTTTTTTTTTTTTTTTTTTTTTTTTTTTTTTTTTTCACCGCTTGTTTTCAACGTGATTCAAATCCCCCCTGCTTTGGCCCTTTATTCTATCCCTCGGACCTAGGCGATGCCAAATCAATCATGAAATGAATTCCTTTCATCTGCCACCTATCTCCTGTTATCCCTTCTTTAAGAGAATCCGGGCCGACAGATGTTTCATCAGTAAACGTTCACCCCCTCAATGAACCCAACTAAAAGGGTACTAGATGTTTTTTCACAAAAGAAAAAGAGAAAGACAAAGAAAATAACCTGAAGTTTCAGCGGGGAGAAGACCCCAAGTAATTAATCAACTAACTAACTAATTGATTAGTAGATGATGATAATCAACACTAAAAGTTCAGTGGAATAATCCTGGTCCGCGAGAATAACTCCGAGGTCCGAGAAAAGGGCGCGTGCACGTGTGGGGAGCCGAAGTACGTAGTAAGAAACCTGAGAACTTGAAGGGGGATGGTGGTGAAGGCGAAAGGATCATCGGGTTGTCTAACTATCTACTTAAGTCTGTCTGTCATGATTTCGTTACCTCTGGGGCAATGACTGACTAACTAACTTATCTACAAAGTTATCCATCATGATGATTTTGGAAAATTTCTTCATCGATCCGGGGGCGAGTGGCGAGGGGGTGGGGGTTTGTTATCCATTCATTTTGTTGTTGTTCACATGCTACTACTTACTACTCATCACTGCTACTACTTTGCACTATGCTATGCTATACTACTATACTGCAAAAGTATAGTTTGGAAAGAGAAATATTCAGTAAGATGATGTATTCGTGTCTATCGAGGTGCTGTCTGTCTACACCGTCGCTTATGGGATACTAGTCTATGCGCTGATGTATATGCTGCGAATGCTCATTAGTAGTAAATCATCAGGTTGCGGGTATCATGTCAGGTTGTGTATATGAGATGATGAGGATGCTTGTGGCAGAAAGAGATGATGAAGGTGTCGTGTCATCCGCTTAATGGGCTGTCAACAGTCCTAAAGGGTGATGATGAGTGGCTCGGGACAGGTGGGAGGAGTGAGAGGTCTTAAAAAGCACGCTTCTCCAGAAGCAAGCCTCCGGAGGGCGTCTTGGTGCTGAAGCCATCGTCGCGGCTGAAGATCTTCTCGCCACGCAGCCAGGTCTCGCGGACCAGTCCACGAAGCTTGCGGCCCTGGTAGGGTGAGCACTTGTTGCGGAAGAGCATGGTGCTGGGCTCGACGACCCATTCTGCGGTGTCGTCGAAGACACAGATGTCGGCGTCGTGGCCGGGGACAAGGTCACCCTTCTGGTGCTGTAGGCCAACCTGGACGGCAGTGTTGGTGCAGCAGAGTCGTACAACGTCCTGCAGAGCCTGTTGGGTCGTGGTTTCGTCTGCTGCCTTCAGGGCCTTGCGACGGCTAAGCTCCGTCCACAGGATGGGAAGGCCGAGGCCAACTGATGAGATACCGCCCCAGGCGGAAAGGAAGCTACCCTCATTGTCAACTTGAGTGCTGTCGCCGTCTGATGGGCAGCAGCCAGGGACGTGGGATGGCAGGAGCTTAAGATCAGGGGTGCAGGGGGAGTGGTCCGAGACGACCGTCTGGATCACACCATCTTCCGCATGGCGCTCCAACTCATCCCACAGAGCGTCCTGGTTCGACTGGGAGCGGATGGGTGGGCAACACTTGTGGCGGGTGTCTCCATCCCGGATCTCCTCAGCCGCCAAGGACAGGTAGTGGAAGCAGGTTTCCGCAGTGATAGGAACACCATCAGCGCGGGCTTTGCGCAACAGAGGGATAGCTTCCATGGCAGACAAATGAACAATGTGAAGAGGGAGTTTGGGGGCCACCTGAGACAGGTTAATGATCTCCTCTACGGCACAGGTCTCAAACGCCGACGGACGGGATGCGAGGAAAGTCGAGTACGCCTCTGCGGGACCTTCGAGAGCCTGGTCCTTCTCCTCGGAATCAGTGGAGGGCGGCAGCATCTCGGCGTGGAACATGAGGGTCGTGGGCTCATCCGCTAGCTCAGCCATGGCCTTACGGATGTCTTCGGAAGACACGGCAGGGAATTCGTCGACCTAGAGCCATATGTCAGCACACCTACATCCTCTAGAAAGAGACAACTAAGACTTACCCCACTGTCAATGAGGAAGCCCTTGAAACCACGGACACCCTCTTGGACGAGGGCCTTCAAGTCACCAGCATTGCCGGGGATGATGCCGCCATAGAAGCCAACATCAACCCAGCACTTCCCTTGGGCAGCACGGAGTTTCTCCTTGAAGTTGGCCACCGTGGTGGTAGGAGGAATAGCATTCAGGGGCATGTCGATGACCGTGGTGACACCGCCAAAGGCAGCCGCCTGGGTGCCGGTATAGAAGCCCTCCCATTCGGTGCGGCCCGGCTCGTTCAGGTGGACATGGGCGTCAACCAGACCGGGGAGCAGAACGTGGGGGGAATAATCAGTATAGGGTGTGCCAGCAGGGAAATCAGAAGCCGGGATCACCGAATCAAAGACGGCCGTGATCTTGCCGGTAGTGCGAGAGATGACAATGGTGGCTGATGTCAAACGGCCGGAGATGACGGCGCGCGACGAGGCGATCACGGCAATGGATGGGATCTGAGAAGCCTCCATGGTGAGGGTGATCGATTGGAAGGATTGCGCGCTAAGAGAGGCCAAAGATGCAAAGAACGATGAAGCTGCAGAGCAATCAAAGCCAGGATGGGCGGACAAAAAGTTAAAGAAGCAAAGACGAGATAAGCGATAGACTGATGCGGAAAGGCTCCACCGGCGTCAAAAGGCAAGGGATGAATTGACTTGATAAGGATGAAGAAGGCGAGAGGACGAATTGCTGGCTGCGATAAGGGCTTTAAATGTTTGAGAAGATAAGCCGCCATTGTTCCCTGGAGACCCACGGCGATCGAACCAAATAATCCCATCGAGTAACAAAAACCTGGCTCCACCCCCTTTGACGGATCCACCGGCTTGCCATCCAAGCGTCTTTTTCTTTTTTTTTCTCTTTCTCGCCCATTCTTTCTTCACGCCTGACCTGTTTGTCTGCAAGTGCCTGCCCCGGTAACTACCCTTATCACCATATCGATAACCGGAGGTTATATTTGTCCACCTCCTCTCCTTCTTCCCTCCCCCCAAACGAGAGGATGCCTTTTCCACTGGACAACCCCTTCGTCTGTACACCCTCATTGTTGCCATTTCGGGACGTATTCCCTCGTGGGGAAAGTGAAGAGAATTTCCGGCTTATCTTCTGGGCCAGTCAGAACCATGGGTCGGGCTATCGGGCGCCTCCGGCATCCGCCATCGGACCTCTCCTGCTGCAATGCAAGTGATTGCCTCCTCACCGCTGTTACTCGATCAAATCTCCAATTCCGGCCCGTTTAGGCAATTCCTTTACTCGATCAAAATTCTAGCGGAACAAAGGTCATGAGGCCTTGTGAAATTCACCCACCCTGATTGTCTCACGCACCCTCGCTTCGGCTGGACGGTTATCGCTGTTCACCTTAGCCGAGTTATCAGACCTGCCTACCTATCGTAGTCTCCAACTTTTGCTCGTTTTCTGTCCCGCTAGCAGCGAGTTCAGCGAACAAAGTCAATTGCATGCTTTGCTTCGCTTACACGCCTGTCATTGACTGTGATCACCGTGCCAAGGATCGGGGATTTTCGGGGACTCCTGGGTCCGGTCGAACCCTGCAATTGTCGATGGCCAAGTCAATTAGTTCTTTCAGACCTGTCTCGTCTCAGAGGGGCTGCATCTATAGACCGGTTTTCCCGTGCCTTGTCTATGTTTAGTTGAACAAAACACGTGGTGATGTAGAACGTCAACAGGCTGCAAAAGAAGTGAGGACTGATCCCCGTCGACTGGAATGTTGTGGCAAAAGAGGCAAGAGGCAAGTGAAATGTGAGAAAGTGTAATTAGTTAGGTGCAGAGCCCCTGGCGCTGTGGGGAGCTGACTAAGGCCCATGTGCCCGTGGGGTGTTCCTCTCTGCTGGCCTCAGGCCTCTTCTCCTCCAGACTCCATCCCCGCCTTTGCTTAATACCCAGATGTTATTGACCTGGATGAGAAGACGTGTCGGCAGTACCTACGTACTCGTCCGATATATGATCAGCTTCTATTCTGTCTGTAAGCAGTTTGACTTCAGTATGGATGGCTTCAAACAATCATGGTAAACTTTTTGACACCTCCGGCTGATCTGAGCGATCTGTTCATGATGATGAAACGAGACAGTAATGGCCTTTGACCATCACATTGCAGTGTCTGTGTGTGCCTTGTCAGGTCTGACTGCAGTAGTCGTCAACGTCATCACATGTTTCCATACCATACATACCTGTCTCGCGGCCTTCACCCATGTGAACTACAACCCGTCTTCATGCACTCCTGGAGTCTTGGTCACCTGTGCGTGTGACACACCCTTTGTGGTTAGTAAGTTCGCCAGGTATGCAAGTTTATTATCGTTGCTCTCGGCAGGCAGGTCTATGCGCCAGACTACGTACATACCTGCTGAGAGACCTGCCTACAATAGTAGCAGTACCTGACCCTGTAGATACTTGGCCGAGACTGTTTGCTTCGTTTGTACTGGTTACTGGTAAGCAGCACATCACCTGATCATGTAACACTTCTACCGCTGCACTGGCCCGAGTGGCAATCCACGCATGTCTGTCTATGTAGTGTCTCGAGGTTGTGAGCACCCCTGAGTTATGTTTCACTGCTGTCATCGACCTCACTCAGTGTCAAACAGGCGCTAGGCTCCGACTCGGAAGTCCCAAGTGCGCTGGGGCCACACTTTCTTTTCACTGTGCCTCGGCAAGCCGATCCTCGGCCCGTTGCTTCCCGCACCCACCTGTGGGATTAATAAAGTAACAAAGGTACCATGTACGGATTGGTGGACACCTGCTGTCGAAAACAGCTCGTGCTGGTCGACGTCCGTCTATCCATCCTTCTGGGTGTACTCAGGGGC